CACAGGCACTGAGCCCATCTTCCAACTTTCTATGAGAAATATCTCTTTTTAAATGTCCCTTGAATTTGTCCCATTCAAATTGAATATATCCAAAATAAAGCTCATTATTTCCTCTCAGTACCTGTGCCCTTCATCCTTTAAGGGCACCATCATTCACCCAGTTGCCCAAACCAGGAAATTTTACTCTGGTTTCTCAAATCCAGACATCTCTAAACCTTGTCAACCTGAACATTTCTCTACAATCTCTTCCCTCCTTACCACCTCACAGCCACCGCCTTCTTTTCAAGCCTTCTTCATTTTGCTCATTTCTCATCTAGACTGTTTCTATAGTAGCCTCTTAATTGTCCACCTGTCTTCACGTTCCCTTTCTACTACCCGGAGTTAGCTTTCTAAAATGTCGATTTAATTATGTCAGTACCCAAAGTCTACAAGCTACAACCCTGAATCATAAGCTTAGCACAAGCCACCTGCCTGTGCACTGAGCTCTGGTGTCAGCCCAATATCCCCACCCCCAACCTGTGTCTCAGGCTGTGCCACCTTCCCAGCATGCACTGTGCTGCATCAAGCCCAGGTCGTGAGACATGTTTTAACTCATGGACCCTTTGCCCAGAAGCCTTCATTTTCCCGATGAACATTTCTTGCTCTTCCTTAGAATTTGTTCAAGTATTTCCTCTTAGAAGCCTTCTGGAAGCCCCCAAGGAAGTTACATTATATTCTTCACGCTCCCATAGCAGTTTGAGCATCTAGTAAGCCCTCTTTCAACATTGGAAATTTGGTTAGTTGTTGCTCTATTATTTTCTTTTTTTTAAGACAGGCTCTTGCTCTGTCACCTAGGGAAAAGTACAGTGGTATCATCATGGCTCACTGGAGTCTCTAACTCTCAGCCTCAAGGGATCCTCTTGCCTCAGCCTCCCAGAGTGCTGGGATTATAGGGGTGAGCCACTGTACCCGGCCTACTGCTGCTTTTTGAGGGAGAGAAATTAAAACAAAATGAATTTCAATGATTTTTTTGTTAGTTTGTTTAAAATAAAAGCTATGATGACCAGCTTGCTAATTACTTTCCTTTTCATTCAGTACTGGGAATGATTAGCAAAAAGGAGCCTATGTATTGGCAAGTGGGTATGAGGATGAGTTTATTCCTGTGGAATAAAGAGCAAATAAAGTGAGTTAAAGGCAGAAATAAATAACAAGGAAAACAGACTAAGCAAGAATTAGAGAAAGAAACTCATGATGAGAGAAAATGATCAAGCCAAAGTTCTGGCTTGTTGGCATTTTCTTGTTTTTTACTTCCTTGAAATTGTTCTTTTCACAGAAAATGTCCCCTTGTTCTATTCCTTCAGGAGCATAAGGGGGGAGCAGCTCTGACAACATGAGCTGAGACTGACTGCCTGCCTGCTAGATCCCTGGGTCGTTAGGCAGCCATGGAAACACACTCTGCCCTCGTGGGGTAACTGCATCTGTGCTCTTAGCGGGACCAAACACCAGATAGGGTGGGCAGGTCCAACTGGGGTGGGGTGGGGGGACCCGTGGAGACCTTGGTATTAGACCAATGTAGCTACAGCAAAGCCTGGGTCTGTCTGATGGTATTTCATCTCTCAGGAGAACAGAGACAATCTCAGATGTGAAAGTGACCAGGAGTGGAAAGGAGATCATGTGTCTTTGGAGAAGAAATCCATCATGAAGCCACGACTGTCACAGTTTCCAGGGAGCATGGAAAGATGCACTATGGAACATGTCCTTTCTTTTATTGTCACCTGAATATACGGAACTGATCTGAATGCTGGAACTTTTTCTAAAATCACAGTGGTGGGAGTGGATTCTCTGTGCGGCCAGTGATGCTGGTGCCTACTCCAGAGCACACAGCCAGGCTGAGAGGTGCCACCCCAGGTGTTGGCACCTGAACAGGGAGAGAGCACATTTGCCCCCCCAAGTCAGCAGCTTTGGGGGTATGTCCTTTCAAAATGGGATTATCTCAAAAAGTTGCACAGAATACTCAAAATGGTGTTATAAAAAATCCACGTAAGTATTTAAATTTCCAAGTGGGATGTCACAAAAACTCCCCATACATATTTAAATTTCTAGTAGGATTACAGGCAGTGGCTCATGCCTATAATCCTAGCACTCTGGGAGGCCAAGGCGGTGGATCGCCTGAACGCAGGAGTTTTCATCTAAATACATTTCATCCAAATCCAAATACCTTTTCTTCGTTTGCCGCCATCAAAGATTCCACAGCCTTTTTCATTTTTTGTACTTCAATATCTGAAAGTAACACAACATCAAGTCAGAAGTCAGCATAGTTAACGCGTGGCAATGACAAAAAGCTATTTATTCTTCAGATTGAAATGTTGTAAGGCTGAGATGGTTAGATTTATTTTTTGTTTGTTTGTTTGTTTGTTTTTAGGGGAACCCAGATTCTGTCTTAGGGAAAATCTAAAAGATGACCACCTTCTCTCTCACCTCAACAGCTGTCATTTTACAAAGGAAATAAGGGAATATGAGAGCCAGCTATCCTCCCTCTGAGCAACAACAAAATCCTCATAAAGAGGCCGGGCACTGTGAATCACGCCTGTAATCCTAGTACTCTGGGAGGCAGAGGTGGGCGGACTGCCTGAGCTCACGAGTTCGAGACCAGCCTGAGCCAGAGCAGGATCCTGTCTCTAAAACTAGCTGGGCATTATGGCAGGTGCCTGTAGTCCCAGCTTCTTGGGAGGCTGAGGCAAGAAAATCGCTTGAGCCCAAGAGTTTGAGGTCGCTGTGAGCTAGGATGCCACTGCACTCTACCTAGGGGGACAAAGTGAGACTCTGTCTCAAAAAAGCAAAAAAATTATGAAGAACACTGAAGATAAAATTTCAGTACTGTAACAATAAAAACAAGGACTTTTCCAAAAGGAACCTAAAAGCAGTGGGTGAAAGCAATGAATGGTCCAGGCAATGACAAAGCAGAGAACATGGTCCAGTCACAACCAAGGAAGAGGCACGGAGGTAAGAGCCTGGTGGCGTGTGACGTTCACATGAGTACTCATGCTAAGAAGCTGGCTAGAGTTCCATACAGAAGGACAGTAAGTGTTTGCTTCATCTATAAACTTCATTTCCAATAGTACTTTAAAACAGATTTCAACAAAGTAGGCTGAATGGTTTTCCTGACAGTTTGGTATTCAAATATAGAAGCTGTTACTTGAATAATTAAAAGCATCAATGTTTTAGAGGCAAAATGTCACCAGAAAGCAAAACTAAAAAACTGAAGCAGAAGAAAAAAATTTCAGCAAAGTTGCCTGCTTCTGAGAAAAATAGATACTATTTAAAATAATCTGAGGGCAGCGCCCTAAGCTCCGTCGGTAGGGTGCCAGCCACACACATTGAGGCTGGAGGGTTCAAACCTGGCC